TTTCCTTTGCTACATATATTGGTTCGAGTCTGGGCATGTGACCTAGGTTGACCCAGAGTGGAGCTCAGAACTTTTAAAAATAGTTTCATATAGAACTACCTTCTCTTTACTCTTGGATTTAAATTGAGAAACAGAGCCATGGCCACCACTAGCCTATATAGTGCAAATTTGAAAGAAGGAACCCCTGTGAACAGATAGGCAAATTCTGAACTACCTCATTTGGACAGATAAATTAGAAAAAAGTGCTCAATTTGGGTGGAGTGATTGACATAGGCACTCCTCTGGGCAGATTCAGCCCTATAGGTTTGGATTTGGAATCTGAGCTAAGAAAAGGTGGCCCTTCCTATGGGCAGAGGCAGCTTTGCACCAGGATGCATAGTTTGTAAAGCGTAACAGCCTAGGTTTCAGCCTCTACTTTCTTTCTGGAAAAACTGCACAACTGTATGTGGAAGCCCTGCATATGGCCCCAGAAACAGCCTTGTTGACATCATGAGAGCAAGAAGGAAAAGAGTAGAGTCAAGAGAATTGGAGCTGTAACACTGACAGCATGAACTCAAAGACTGAACTACCTACAGTTTTCAATTCAATGAACCAATAAATTCTCTTTATGCCCGTAATTCAGACTTTCTATTGTAAGTAAAAGCATCCAATGTGATGCAGTCAACTAGGGTTTCCAGGTCCCCAATATGCTAAAAAGACTGGTCTATTAAGTCAGAACAGCCCCTTGCCCCCATGAGCATTTTTTCTTATGTTCCTTTCAGGGGTGGGCTTAGAGGCCCATGAAAAGAGAAATTTCTCCAACAAGCAGAATCTGGGGCAGTCACTTTGCCTTACCAAGAACTCAATCCACTGCCAGGATAGTGATTCAATGAAATGCATTGCTCTATCCCTGTTGAATAATATATATTATTATTTAGGATCAGGGACTACTAATACTGCTTTCTCTTTTCTAAATGGGAGATTTTATTTTGGTTATTCAATTTCATCCTTACACTTCTGATGTGTTGGGGGAGGGGAAGGGTGTGGATAAATGTATTATTATTTCACAGGTTGGAGGATCATGGGAATATCGTTGAGACTTAAACTAGATAAATGGCTATCACTCATCTTGTTCATAGAGCCAGGTGCAAGGCTATGACTTGAAGTTGTCTTTCCGGAAGAGAGATGTGTGTCCTGCGGTACAGTATGTTAGGTAGTAGATACTACTGGATTGTATATATTGTAAGAAAGATTTGTAGGTTGCTGGATATCAAAGGAGTAGATTCTCGTGGATACCTGTGCTTATCTGTCTACTCTTTCTCCTGCTACTGCATCTCTTCCCTGTGGAAGAACCAGTTCTTCAACTCTCCAAACACATGACTCTAGTGATGCAGGACAATTAATTATAGTACCCCAATCTTCTGACCACAGAGGTTAGCATATGACCCAGGTGAGGCTAATCATTCCTGGTCCCATAGCCTGAAAGAATGGTCCAGGGATGGGCACATGTCCAAGCCAGGCCAATCAGAATTTTCTGTGGTACTTTGCCAGGTAGAGCTGTCAGGGAAAATCTTTTGTACGTCAGGCCACATTACTCAAAGGATGGAGGTCCAGAGTGGTCTGAGTCTTGCTCTTGGTCATATGGAGAAAGCGTCTGCACAAGGAGAGAATCCAAAAAGGAGAGATCAAGATATTTTGGCAAGAAGCATCTTAAAGCAAATGGATGCATAAGAATTTGTAAAATGTGTAAAAATGTATTTAAATATGTGTGCCCTGAAAGCTTAATATATATACCTTATGTTTCTAGGTTATTACATGATTACAACTAAACATTCAAATTCAATAATATTAAAATTGCATTAACTTTATGCTAGGGACAGTGATGTTTTGCTGAAACTAAATTGCTGTTCTAAAATGACTATTATACTACCCACTATGAGGTAGATTCTGATTTTGTCTTGGCAAACCTACCCAACTATGTATCTTGTGATGACTTGTTTTCTTCAAGGAGGGAGTGAGATCCTAACCCCTGCTCTCCCATATTTAAAGGTCTTTTGGGAGTGATCAGAGGAGCTCCTATAAATGTCTCGGGTTATGCAACCACCGAGAACTTGAGATAAATGACCTTGAAAAGATGTGACCTGGGTTCCACACAAGGGCCTCATGGATTCTGATGAAGTGTTGGCCTCAGTAGGATATGGCCGAGGGATGGATGTTTCCTCTGGACCCAGCTTTCTTGATAGTGTGGTTGTTTTGCGGAATGGCTGAACATAAATGTGAGATAAAAAGAGGTGTAAATTTTGAGCCTCGTGTGGGGCATCTCAGTGGCCTGGATAGGAACTAGATAAATGAAGACATCCGGCAGTGGTGGACGAGTGAATTTCGCTGAACTGGTCAGGACAGTCTAACACAGGTATGCAGGACTGTGTGGCAGGCTTCTAGGTGAGGCCTGGCCTCATTTCGTCCTGCTCCTGATCCTCCCTCATTCATGGTGGCTCTCCCTGTTAAGGACCAAAAAGCACGGCCTTTTTGACATCTCGAGTCTTCTGGGTATGGAAAAAGATCGCTGCTTTATTCCTCGACTTTCATTCACTCAGCAAACGTTTCGGAGACTCTTCTGTCCTGAGGTCCCCACCCTGTCCAGTCCAGCCCTTCAGCCCTGCTCTGATCTAACGCCGAGCTCCAGATTGCTCTTCCAGGCCCCGCAGGGAGGGACTCACTGGCAAGTGGGAAATCCACATCGCAGGGGCTGGACCTGTCTGGGCGGGAAGCAGGCTCCAGCTTCCAAGGCGGAAGGACGACCTATGCTCATTGGTTCGGCTGGGCCCTGTCCCTTCACCCAAAGTCCAATGGAGTGAATGGTGCGCTTCTGGCTCCGGCCTTAGACTCCGTCCCCTTTCGGGGAGGCCAGGTGGACGGGCAGAGCCCGGGACCCACGACTCGGAACCGGGAGGCTGGGAGGAAGAATGAAACTTATTTCGCGCGCGGTCCCTCTTCCTCAGGCTTGTCTCGCGGGAACTAAAAGGAGGAACCACAGAGATGTGCGGTCCTCCAAGATTACTAGAGGGAATTTCAGGGAAGGTCTAGGTTGGCCGTTCGATGTGTTGAAGAACTTCCGGCGCAGCCATTGTTATCTTCTAACGTCCGAGAGTTCGGTTTGTGGGGATCGGTGAGTGGTCGGTAAAACCTCTGCTCGCTGCGAAGCCGCAGCGGCCGCTCAGAGCCCACGGTGAGCGGGTCTGGCTTGGTCTGAGACGACGGGAAGGAGCCTCGGGGAGACGAGCGTGGCTCCCATGGCCGCAGCGGTCCTCACGCCAACCTCCGCGCTCGACTCGGTTGTGTCGACAGGGGGCGCCGGAGGGCCCGGGACGTTGGCTTTAGGCTCTTGCCCCTGGTTTCTCGTCCCCAGGACAGCCCCCGGCCTATTCAGATTGGGTAGTGACACAAAATCGAATGCTGACAACGAGGTCCTCAAAAAGTTTTAACGGCGCTCCAGGACACGCTGTCAACAGAGATCACGCCCCGTGGCCGCGCCAGTCCGTTCTTGCCCTGGCTGCGGAGACCCCAGCTGGACCCCTCGGCCTGTATATGATTTAACGCTTTTTCTCCCTTTTCAGGTGGTCCCAGGAAATCGGTTGATGATCACTTTATTTATTCGCTTGGCCTGGTGTAAGCCCGGTCTGGAAGCTTATTACTGACCCTAGAGCAGTCAAAGTTTTGAGAATACTGAAATGGTGGTTTTTTTTTTTTCCATCTCCAAGATGGAGGCTACTTAGCGTGTAAATTTGGAGAATGTGGAGCCCTGGATTTGCATTGGCCCATATGAATGTTTAAAAAACTCACGACAAGTCATATCTATCAAGCGCCTAATCTGTGTCCGATGTTTAGCGTATAATTTCCTATGTACAGTATTAGAAATATAGGAAGATTTTTTGACAAGGTCTCTTCACATCCTTTATTTCTAATTACATTCTCTTAACTGGTACTCGTTGTCATAACCTAATTGTTAAGGTTTGTGCTCAGATTAAATTTTTGGTCTCTGCTATTGGCGAAGTGTGTTGGGTTGTGATTTGTTCACCACTGGGCCTTTATTTACACTTCAGGTCTATAGCTGTGGTTTTCCCCATAGGAAAGTAGGAAGGAGTGTTATATAGAGTGGCCTTTGCAGCTGTTTGTTGTACTTCCAGGTGATTTACTTTTCACAAATTGTCAACTGTACAGATCAGACCTTTTTGCTTAAGTCTTTTTGTTTAATCTGTCAATTTTATTAAGAATCCACTGTAAAAGACATTTATCACAAAGATAGAACAGTATGATGACTTAAAAGAATTAGAGTACACGACTGTTTACTCAGTATGAGTCACTGCTTTTTTATCCTAGGACAGAAACTGTCCATGAGTTTAGCAGTATGCCTGTTATCTCACCACTGTGAGATGAGTATTGTCACTGATACAGGGCAATAACTGATGAATAGTAGTAGTTCAGGTAGCCTCAAAACAGGATGGGTCAGATGTTGGGTGCAGGAGTTATGGTCAGTAGAGTTATTGTTACTAATACTTCTTACTTTACCTTCAGCTCCTGAGACTTACCTTTCTCCAAGACTGGAATAAAAGAGGTCAGATGATGACAGCATTGTCTTTAACAGCAAGGCCCCAGGTGAGCTGGATTTCCTCTGCCTATGCACATAGTCATGTGTGTGTATGTGTGTGTGTGTGTATATATATATATATACATTACATATATATATTATATATATGTATTATATATATAATATATATTATATATACATATATATACACACACACATATATATATGTATGTGTATATATACCGCATTTTCTTTTATTATATATTATATATATTATATATATACACAAAAGGCATATTTAAGAATATATATACACACATTTATATGCATGTATACTTTTATATATGCCTATGTAAATATACATCTATAAATTTTATGCATATGTAAGTATATACATGTGTATATAAATATGTGATTTTATATATGCATGTATAAAATACGTAAATTTACTTTCTCATTGAGATTTAACTTACAATACAAATCTGAACTGTATAGCTTACTTTTGAGAAATCTCTACACCTGTATGACTGTCATTCATGTTAAGACATAGAACATTATCGGTACCTCAGCAGGCTCCCTCATGCACCATCCCAAGCAGTCCACCCCAAAGTTGGCCATTATTCTGACCCTCATCACTATTTATTAATTTTATTTGTTCTTGAACTTCATATAAAGGGAATCGTTCAATGTGTACCATTTTGTATCTGCCTACTTTTGTTCAACATCATGCTTATGAACTTTACTCGTGTCGTTGCACTTAGTAGTTCTTTTTTTTAATTGCTGAATGTTTTTCCATTACATGATTATGCTACATTTTATTTATTCATTTTTTTATAGATGGACATTTTGATCATTTTCATTTCTTGATTACGATGAAAAAGAATGCAGTGAACATTCTTAAACATGCCTTTTGGTGGACATATGCACTCATTTCTCTTGGGTGTATCTTTAGGAGTCAAATTGCTAGGGCATAGGGTATATACATTTGGTTAGTTTTAGTAGCTGCTGCCCAGCAATTTTCTGAAATGGTTGTTCCAATTTTTACTTTTATCGGCAGTATATGAGAGTTCCAGTTGCTCCACATCCTTGCTAACTCTTGTCATTCTTTCTTAATATCTCATTGAGGCCTTTAAATTTCCTTTTCCCCAATAGGCAGTGATGCGAAGCACTATTTCATGTGTTTTGGCTACATGGATCTCCTCTTATGTGAAGTCCCTGTTCAGATTTTTTCCCCTTTTTTTCATTACATTGCATGTCATTTTTTTCCTCCAAGTTTTTAGTTCTTTATTATGGATGTGATTTCTTCGTCAGTTATACGTATTATGAAATATCCTCTCCCGGTCTGTGGCTCGCTTTTTCACTCTCTTAGTGGTGTCCTTTAATTAACAGACTTTCCTCTAGCCTATCCCAAGAATTATTTCTCTGTGCCTCTCTAACCTCACTGCCTCCGCATGTGAGTAGGGAGTCACTGACAGATCTGGGAGCTTTGTGCCTGGAGTAGTTGGCAAAGAGAGGAGAATGAGGGAATAACTGGGATGAAAGTAGAATAAAGAAATGACAGTAAAATGAGCAGCCCAAATAATCACCCAACTATGTTATAAAATGGGGAGGGCTTAGAGATAAGGTGTGAGCCATATCCAATTATGTTAGTTCTCCTTTTATATATGTACTTTCATGCCCAGGACCAAGCCCCGCTCCTATGTAGTAGTCTCTTTGGAGGTCACATATGTTCAGAGCTCATAGTGGAGATGTGTTTGGTTCCAACTGGGAAAGTATGCTGAACCCTGGCTGGCTGTCTGCCTTTAGTTTGCGTCCTCCTCCACACCTTCCAAGTTTCACACAACTCAGGCACATGAGGATCCCAATACTAAATACATATCATTGTAGGTGCCCTTCCCAGGCTTCTAGTGGACAGTTTTGACCATCACTAAAGTCTTCAAGCTGAGAGACCAAGACCTTTTCGTTTCAGGAATCTTTGACTTTTGAGGACGTGGCTGTGTACTTCACTGAGGAGGAATGGGCCAGCCTGGTACCTGCTCAGAGGGCCTTGTACAGGGATGTGATGCTGGAGAACTATGGGGCTTTGGCCTTCCTAGGTAAGGCCTCTGTCACTGGTCTCTGCCTGGGCCCTCAGAAGTTCAAGGGCTCTCTTATAATTATTAGCTGACCCCAAATGGTAGTGTCAAGAGTTGCCAGGTACAGAGAGCTCTGGAGTCTGTTTGACCTACAAGAAGGCTTTCCTTCTTTTCCATCATAAAAGCTACCCTCCCTCCCTACCTGCCTCAGAGGTGATTCTCTGGGTACAGCAGGACCTGAGCTATATTTTGGTACCCTCATCCTAGCATTAAACCTCCAGATTATCTCGAGAGGACTCAACCCCTTAGGTTTCCTGTGGGGATTGCTCCTAGGAGCCATGTGTCTGTTTTCCCACAGTGGGCATTTTCTGTCCTCTAACAAAGAAGGTAAGAAATTTTGTTTTCCTTTAAATAGAAATTTGCATCTCAAGGTGTTTCAGGCTCCTTTGGGAGCACTATCCCGAGGTTCCTTCCCAGGACCCCTCCCTGTACCTCTTTAGGGTACCTCTAGCTCAGTTCACCCGGGAATTACTCTCCTCACCTCTGGCTCTTCTTGCAGCTACGGGCTGAGATTGACCTCTGTTGTGTCTTCTTCCCCTCAAGCAGCACCATCTACTACCAAACCAGCTCTGATCTATCAGCTGGAACAAGAGAAAGAGCTGTGTTTCTCTGAGTCACAGGAAGCCCTGAGCGGGAGAGCAAGCCTTGCAGGTGAGTTAAGCAAGGGATACCCTTTCCAGCTCTGTCTTTTTCTTTGTGTTTATTTCATCAGAATTAAAGATACGCATTCTCTGTGCCCAGCATCATGGAGTACATTGGGCTCCTTGATCACACTCTGACTGGTCTGTTATTCATTGTTTCTCGTCCCTTTAAACTGTAATATACAACATCCTCCAGTATTTTACAAACTGGGCTGCTTTTATCCCTGGGGACGTGTGGAAACATTTTTCTAAATATTTTACTGGTTATGTGTGATCACCTTTTTCCAGTTTTCCCCAGTTTTACAGAATTGATAAATTCACTACAGTATTATTATCTTGTCCACTAACCAACAGAACAAATAGAAAGATTTATTTTTGCTTTTCATGATAATTAATATATTGAAATTTTTAAATCTTTTTTTTATATTGAAATACTTTAAGGTAGATTACAAATATTATGATTTTTCTTCCCTTTAGGATACATGTCAAAAATAAGAAGATGTACCTACTTAGCTAAAATAATATCACATGCAATAAAATTAAAAATTCTGCAAAATCATCACTTATGGGAAGACAGGACAAAGGCTTAATTCTTTAATTACCAGTTTTCAAAGTAAGAAGTTGATGTAAGAGAGCCTTCTTAAATGATGTGAAATGTGTATTTTGTTTTTCTTTAGACACATGGATGTCCACACATTTAATGTTTTACAATTCATTAAAATTATTCATATTGGTATATGACTCTCATGTCCTTTTTTAAAACTGCTTTATTGAGGTGTAAATCACAAACTATACAATCACCTATTTAAAGTGTACAGTTCAGCGGTATTTAGTATATTCAGAGTTGTGTAAGTATTATCTCATTTACTTTTAGAACATTTTTGTCACCCAAAGAAGGAAACCTGGTGTCCATTAGCAGTCACTCTCCATCTCTCTTCCCCCAACACTCAGTTTTAGGTAGCCACTTACTTACTTCCTGTAGTTTCTATAGATTTATCTATCGTGGATATTTGGTATTAACAGAATCATTGGTATATGGTCATTTGCAATTGGCTGTCACGTAACATGTTTTCAAGGTTCTTTCGTTTTGTAACATGTACCAGTACTCCATTGCTTTTTATGTGTGAGTACTATCTATCAGATGGATAGTACCATGTTTTGCTTATCTATTCATCAGTTGATAGACATTTGGATTATTTCTACCAGTGTGCTATTTTTAAGCCACTAAATTTGTGAGAATTTGTTATGGCAGTGATATTAAACTATTATAGTTGTCTCTTTAAAAGTTTAGGTAATGTTATATAGAAATACAAGTGATATTTTTATTTTGAGTTTATAACCATCCATCTCTTAAACTACTAATTCTAATAATTTATATGTCAGTTACTGTAGACTTAAATCATCTACAAATAATCACAGTTTTATTTGTCTTTCTAATCTTCATACTTTTAATTTATTTTTATTGTCTTATTACACTTGCTAGAACCTCTCATACACTGTTGAATAGCAGTGATGGTATTCATTCCTAGTCTTAATAATTTCATCACTAGGTATGATCTTCACTCTAAATTTTTATAGCCTTTATAAGGTGAAGGGAGATCCGTTTTTTCCTAATTTAGTAAATTTTTCTCCTTAATTTATAATTAGGAAATAGAAGAAGGTTGAATTTTATCAAATGCTATTTTAAGTCTGTTGAGATGATCATATGATTTTTCTCCTTAATCTGTTAATGTGGCCAATTACATTGCCAGGGAGAAAGAAAAGAGGCTGTTGTTTTGACAATGTTTTCAAATATGCCCTGTTGCCAAGAAAGACATTCCTTTTTGGGGGAGAGTTTTGAGGGCTTATTCCTTTCACTTCCTGCCATGCCTCCAAATGCCACCCTTATGTAGGTGGTGGGCCTTTCTTGTCCTTCAAACCCAACAGAAAGTGTAGCTTCCTGTTTGGTGAAGTCCAGAGATGACCCTGATCCAACTCAACCTCATGCGCATCATTCTGTTCCCTTTGACTAGAATGCCGCCCCTTTCCCCATTGCCCCCTTGGAGAACTCCTCATCCTAAACACTCAGCTGGCTTGGAAGTTCTGGAAGCCTTAGCTCACCTATTCAGGTGTAGCTTCCTGTTCGGTGAAGTCCAGAGATGACCCTGATCCAACTCAACCTCATGCACATCATTCTGTTCCCTTTGACAAGAATGCTGCCCCTTTCCCCATTGCCCCCTTGGAGAACTCCTCATCCTAAACACTCAGCTGGCTTGGAAGTTCTGGAAGCCTTAGCTCACCTATTCAGGCAGGTTTAATTCTTCCTTCTCTCGGTGTCAAGAGCAACCTGCTTGTTCCTTTCTGATAGCTCTATTCATATTACTTATGGGCAGAAGACTGTGTTCTAGTCATCTTCGTCACCCTAGCCCCTTACACAGATCTTGGCTCATAGGAGATACTTAATGTTGAATCTAGAAGTGAGTCAGTGAAATGATTTCTGCAATCGGTAGATACAGTATATATTGGACAGTTCAATGACTAACATTAGTTCACTCATCAAATATTAAGTTCATTCTCTGTGCCAGGCATCAGGATAGGTGCCAAGATTCTATCTGTGAATAAGTTAGTCATAGCATCCATCGTCCTGTGCTCAGGAAAACCCTTAAAAAGATAAGCAGTGATATATAGTAGAAAGCAAGGACTCCAGCAAGAAATAGTTTCATGAATCTCATCCACCCACACTGTAACGGTCAGCTGGCAGTAAATGGGAGTGGAGTGAGACTTGCTCAGGTTAAGGTCTATAAAATGCCTTGACGAGAGATTGCTGAACTAGAGCCTGTTAGGAAGTTAGGAGGCTCTCAAGGCATAGTGGGCTCATAGCCACAGATCTTCCTGGTGAGGAACAGATGGTGGGATCAGCTGTACTCGTTGCCTTGAATTTGTCTTAGCTCTGTCTCCACCCTTGTGAAGCTAGGGCATTATACAGTAGCTAGGAAAAGCCCAAGGCTGACTCAAGGCAGAGAACAGCTTCCATGTGGAATGTTGGCCACACGGTGGTGCTATTCACTTCTTCAGATCCTCACTATTTAAAAAGTGTCAAATCCTGCCCGCCATTCTTGAAGCAGTGCATTTCCTCCTTTGTATTCTTTCCGAGGAAATCACTGTCCATGACTGGTGAGAGCCATTTGGGATACCCATTATCTGAATTCTCAGAGTTTGTCTTCAGTATAGTTGGCTAAACAGGGACTCCTGACCTTGAGAAGAAGCAGTTGGCATTAGGAAGCATGTTGAGCTGATGCAGCCCTTCCTTCATTCTCTAGATTGCTGCTTGGGTACAGGAACAAGGTAAGAGAATTATCACGGCTTTATCGATGGCTGTAAGAGCAAAGCCTTGGTAAGGGTAGAAGAGGAGACAGCTGTCACTCGATGAGCACCTATTAAGTGTTAAGCTCCTTAGTTCATTGTCTACTTAAAATTCTCTAATAACCTTCACGAAGCAGGCATTATTCCTGTGTTATAGATGAGGACACTGAGGCTGGATGGTACATTATTTGTCCAAGGTTAAATAGCCAAAACTAGTGAAATTCAGTTTTTCAATAATAGCATTTATGAAACAAATACAGAATAATATATTAATTTAAATGAACATCTATTGTCATATTTTTATGTTGAAGTAACAACACACGTATAATAATTTGTTATATATTATTATGGGAATTTTGGGGTATGATATGGCTTTTTTGGTGCCTGGATCGGCTCTCTAAGAGCATGTCCTACCTGTATCACTGAACTTTTGCCCCAATAATGCTGTGTAACAAACCTCTTAGACTTGGTGGCTTCCAGCCACAACGTTTATTCTCATGCCTGTGGGTTGGCTGGGCTTGGCTCCAAGCAGTGGGTTGGGGTAGGTCTGTCCTACGTGTCTCATTCCAGGACTCTGACTGGAGGACAGTGGCTACCCAGGGCTTATTCTTTATGTGATGACCTGCCAGAACAAAACCAAACAAGACTGCTCTGGCTTTATTTGCTCACATGCTGGTGGACAAAAGGAGTCCATGGCAAGCCCAACAGCAGAGGAGCAAAGATACATGCTCTGTTCACAGCAGGGGAGTATTTGCTGAACAAAAGTGACCTCTGCCCCCTTTAAGAGCTTTTTGTGGGCCCTACCCATTGACTTCCATTAACTCTTTATTGGTTGTCCCTTTTTGCAAGTGAGGTTGTCAAATAGATAATTTTTTGGCTGAGTACACTGCTGCCCCCTAAAATAGAGGGATTCAGTGAGTGAAGAAAAAGAGAAATGTAAACTGGATGTTAGCATTCTCTGCTGCAAAGAAAGTTTCTCTCCATTCATGGATTCAGGAAACGTTTTTGACAGTTTTCCATGAAACAAGCTCTGTTCTGGGTGTTGGAATTTATACAAACCTGTTACATGGTTTCGGGAGCCCGAGGAGGTGGACTGAACAGCGATGATGGTTCTTGTTTGTTGGTTGAGGAATCTGAAGCCAGTGAAGGAGAAGTTGCTTTACTGAGTATCCTGCCTTGTGAGCAGCAGATTCGGCATTGAGCCCAGGCTTCTGTCTTATTCCTTTATTCAAAAGCATTTGCTAAGTAGCTACTTGGTGCTGGGCAAATGGAGACAGAAGGCTCCTTCCCCCTAGGGAGTTCAAGGTCCATAAGAGAGATTAACAAAATAACATGTACAATGTTGTAACTTCAGGGAATGTGCTGTGCTGGGTTTTCAGGATAGAGAGGATGTGGAGGTGGAAGTATTCAGGTTAGAAATAAGTATGTCAAGAAAAAGCTTTGAGATGGAGGGAACTGCACTTAAAGTTTAGAAATGTGTAAGAGGCCTGAAGAGGTCATCAGAGGTCAATCCTTGGAGGACCTTGAAAGCCATGCTGAGGAATTTGCATTTAATCTTGAGAGTTATGGGAACAGGCCAGGGGCAGGTCCATGGTTACATTTTGGTAGTAACGTGCAGGATGGATTGGATGGAGAGAAAGTAGAGTCTGGAAGCTAATTTAGGGGTCCCTCTAACAGTACTGTGAGTGGACAGAAGTTTGAGCCAAAGAAGTGGCAGTGAGACTGGATAGAAGTAGAGATTCCAAAATCATTTAGAATGGCTATTCGGACATGAGAGCCAAGGAAGAGGAATTGCTTAGCTCAGCAGTGCTCAACCCTGGCTGTGCTTTAGAATGAACTACGGTGCTTAAAAAATGTACCGATTCTCAAGCCTTGGAAACTTTGGTTCAGTAAGTCTGGGTTGGAGTCAGACATGGAAGCGTGTTAAATAGTGGGCCAGTGGGCAGCTGTCTAGGATACCAATTTATAAGACACCCTAAAATGTTATTAGAGCAGATTGGAAATCTGAATCCTTAGAAATGCTGAATGAAGGTAAAGGTAGATTCACTCCTAATGATGTAGGAAGCGCCCTCTGGTGGACATGAAATGTTCCTCACTAGCACCAACCTCTCAGTGGAACAGTTAGTTACCTACTCACAGGATCCACTGTGTAGCCAAAGGCCCTACCAGCAACCCAGGAGCAACAGCCTCCAGATAGCCAAATTCTGCAAGTAAGTAATGCATGAAGTGCTGCTTCCAAGAAAGGGGGGATTTATTGGCTATCTAAATTAAAAATCCTTTAGGATAGCTTTTAAGAAGTCGTCTAGTTAGAAGAAAAACCACAAGATTAAAACTGAAGCAGGCTGAAGTGTGTAGTTTTAAATAACAGTGGTCAGGGAAGGCTTCACTGAGGAGGTGACACTTGCACCAAGACCTAAAGGAGACGAGGGAGCAAACCATGAGGGAATTTGGGCATTCAAGTCAGAGGGAGGAGTAAGCACAAAGGTCCTGAGGTGGGGTAGCGCCCGGAGCGTGCAAGACGCTGCAAGGAGGAGAGTGTGACCTGGAGCACGGTGAGTGAGGGTGCGGGTGGTGACAGAGAAGCAGTGAGGACCGTGAGTGTGGAAGGGCTTGTAGGCTCCTGTACGACGTGGGATGTTACTCAGATGGAGACGTGGAATCTCTGTGAGGCTTTGAGCAGAGGAATAGCAAAATCCGAGATATATTTCTCAGGAATTCTTCTCAAAAGTCATTTTATTCTTGTGATTAGGATGGACTAAGTTATACGACAGTCACAAGTAATTCTCAAATCTTAATGCCTTAACATGTAGATTTTCTCATTTACATATCTAATAAGGGCTCGTGGGGCTTTGCTCATCACAGTCTCCCAGAGACCCAGGCTGATAGAGGCTCCATCCCAACACGTGCTTTTCAGTGCTGTGTAGGAGAAGGAACGTGGCCAGTCAAGCACTGGCTTTTCTGGCTTTTCCCCAGAAGTGATATCACTTCTACCTCCATCTTATTGGTCAAAGCTAGTAGCAGGACCACACCTAACTTCAAGTGGGGTGGAGACTACATCCTAACCATTATCTGAAAGACGGCGAGCCAGATGTTGGTGAAAAGCTCTCATGACTACCATGATTCAGCTTCTTGGAAGCAGCCTTACAAAATCTCCATTTCAGCAGAGGGCTCTGCCTGGCTAGGCGCTCCATTGTGAGTGAGTGAGTGAGTGAGTGAGTGAGAGTGTGTGTGTTTGTGTGGTGGAGATGGGTGGAGTTTAAGGGAGGTCCTGTTTTCCTAGGAAAATAGTTAGACCCAAAGGTATAAATCTCCACCTCTTGCAAAACCAAGTTTAGCTCAAAACTTTAAAAAGATACTTTTTTCACTCTTATTAAGTGTTTAAGGCCCATAGGGCTGAGTCTGATTCAGGGCTCAGCTTCAAGGCAGCCTATTGTCGGCACTGCCAGCAGCTCTACAGGAAAGCCCAGTGTGCGGAGCAGAAGGTAGAAGGCCTTTCAAAATCCTTTTGTTTTGGTTGTTGTCTGTTTTATACAGATAAATAATAAGGTGGTGTACTTAAGTAGCTTGTAAATGTAAAATATATATATTCGAAGATATATTTAAAAACTTACTGCTGCTTATATGAATAGTCAGAAAAGTTTGGAACCTGCTGGTGTAGATTATGAGTCCTTTGAGGTTAGAGATAGTATGCGTTAATTTTTGTTTTACCTGGCTTTTTATTGAAGTTTAACATACAGATGGTGCACATATCATAAGCATTACAGCTTGATACGTTTTCATCTAATTGGTACTGACATCAGAAGTAGCCAGATGGAGAAACAGAACACTAGCAGCACCACACAAGCCCCCTCATATCTCCTTCCCAGCCATGACCTTTCCCCTGGGCAGCCACTCACCTGACTTCTAAGAGCAGAAGGAGCATTCCCTGTTTGTGTACTTCACATAAGAAGAATCATACGTAGGCCTATTTTTGTGGCTTCTTTCCCTCCACAGAACGACTGAGTGTAGTTGTAGTTCATGAATTCCCGTTGCTGTAAAACACTTCATTGTGTGAATGCATCACTATTGACATTGTTTCTACTATTGATTTTTGTGTTGTGTGCAGTTTGGACCACTGCAAATAATGCTGCTGTGAGCATGGCTTTTGGTGCACATGTGTTGGGTCCAGGTCTAAGGGTAGGTTTGCTGGGTAACTGAGCACATGGATGTTTAGCTTAGTAGAAAACCAGGAGAGTTTTCTAACATGATCATAGGTCTTACTTGTTCTTCACATTCAGCCCAACTCAGGCCGTGTGCCAAATGTTCCCTGGACAAACGCATGGGGAGTGAGGAAGCAGGGGGACAGGGAATGAGAAAACACATGACAAAAGCTGTCAGCCTTGTAGACGTGTTCAGTCACAGTCGCAGGCACAGCTCGGTGGAGGAGGATGTTATCACGGAGGTAAATTGTCACATCTAAAATAATGCGGATAGAGTGGTCTGAATGACAGGATTCCGGGGCTGGGAGGAATCAGTGTCAACCAGGACTTAGTAAAGAAAGGGAGGTTGATTTCATAGGCCGGATCCTGAAGGGCAGGCGGAGTCACTGCAGATCTGGGGTGCGTTCTTAGCTCGGTGGGTCCGGAACTCGGTGTTACGTGCTTCCTCAGCTGTGGTCGTTCCCGGAGCACTGACCGCTCACCTGCAGTCTGGGCTACTGAAGTGGCAGGTGTTCACTGACGGTGGGTTCCCACACTCACTGTCTGGGCGCCCCCTTAGCTGGGCAGAGTATCAGGTCTACACACGGTGCTGAGCTTGGGTGTCTGGCTTCAGAAAGTAGAGTTTTGACTCTGTTCTTATGTGACACTTCATGTGACTGGGCCAGGTCCTGGAGCAGCTTTTCCCAAGTGTGTCCCACGAGTCTCCAGGGCTGGTTTCTCTGAAAAAGAGCTCTGCATCCAGTAAACCGGGGGAAAACTGGATCCCTTCCTTTTAAATTATTTTTATCTACAACAGATGTATTCTGCAGGTCACCACAGTGCCATTTGAAAACATTGAAGAACTTTTCTCTGTTTACCTCTGTAGTACTGTTTTTCAACTGTACTCAGCGGATATTAGTGAAGTAAAGTTAGCGATTTGAGACCACCATTAAAAACAATTAAAATGGAATAGAGTAGAAAAAAATCAGAGTGTACCATATGCAATAATATTTTATGAAACGTTTTAGTTACATTTATACATACGTTTTGTGTAAAGGGTCACAACATGGAATGTACGTACGTCTTATGTGGGTTGCAGTCAAAAAGGGAGACTGAAAAGACCACATCGTCTCCCCCAACATCTGGACAAAGCACTGAAAAGTTTGTGCTGTCGCACTGCCTCTTCCTTCATGCTCCCCATCCAGTGCTCCCCATCCAGTGCTCCCCATCCAGTGCTCGGATTCCCACCCTCTGCCGCCCCCTGTGCATGGACAAGCTGCAGTTTTCAGCACTTCATCCTACCTCCCGGTCCTTATCAATTTCTTCTTCCTCTCACGCTCCAGCAAATAGGTTTTGGTTTGCTAAATTACTTATTGACTATCCACCCTCACCAGAGTCACTTCAACTCCCCAATCCTCAGTTTCCTCATTTGTAAAATGGCGATAATAAATTTCCTTAGGATGTTTGTGATGGTGACATGAAATAACTTACAGAAAGCATATGGAACATAATAAGGACTGCAGAACACTTCCCCTTGGGTCTGTTTTCTCCCCATCCCCCACACACAATCTAAGGAGACTCTCTAGGCCTTTGCTCCACTTAAGAAGCACTGTTATCAGTGACAGTCTCAAAGTGTTCTGCAGCAGGGGACGCCGCAGAAGATGTCAGTTTCTGTCCATCTAATAATGATTCTTGTTAGTTTCAATCTTGGAGGGTAATATTTCAGCCCCGCTTCCAGATTCCCTTGGGGTGCCCTACTGCTGACTCTGCCTACAGGCTCTTAAGAATCTTGAGATTCAAATGTTGGGCTATGTAGGGACACGGGTCTCAAAGAGGTCCAGGCAGTGGCTGAAGGTCACCCGTTAACAGAGGGGCCAGCTCCCAATTCCAAGGCTGTGGATTCCATTCCCAGTGCTCTCTCCTACCAGGAGCATGCAGACCCATGGGTCCTGGGAGACTGCCACAGCCCACCTGTCGGTGACTGGGGACACGAGGCACTGTGTATCCACAGCGGAGGGGTCGCTATCAGTCACTCCAGCTACTTAAACACTGATTAGTTCTAAAGCAGAAAAACTTCCTGTGGTCAACAAATTTTCCTTCCAAACTACCCTTGGGGACCGAGCCCTAAGGAGGCTATGAGATGCCAGTAAAAAAGACTTGTCTTTCTGAGAGTTTGCGGGGAAGGAGGATATAGCTTTGGAGATTCTCAGCAGGCCCCTCTGAATTGCCTCGGGCTCGCAGAGCGCCGCCACGCCTTGGAGGTGGGATCTGGTCAGCACGCCCAGCCCCTGCGCTGCGCCCCTACCTCCTGCCTCGGCTCATCAGCCCGCCGCGTGCGGTGCGTTTCCTCCCTAGCACCTGGACCACTGTTTCAGGCGGCGGCTGCTGCCCTGGCGAGCACGGGGCAGGGGCTTTTATTGTGAAAGGAGCTCCTCCCTCCTGCGCTTTCGGGGAAGTGAAGAGGCTGGGCCCGGACCAACGGCAGGGACTTTGCAAACTCTGCAAACGTCCCTAGCTAATCTTGGAGGCTCCTGGCTGCGGGAGGGCTCCCGCAGACTCACAGACCCCTCGCGCCTTCGCCCAGACATCCTCTAACAGCGCCACCCGCAGAGCATCCCCGCGCGAAACGCGCGCCCAGGAGTTGTCGCGGGGCCACTTGGCCCCTGGAAGGCTGTGGACCTTCGGTCCGGGAAACCCGCATCCAGGAAAGCCTGGCGACCTACTGCGCCAGGGACGGCCTGGGGGCGCCAGAGGAGCGGGTCCGGCTACCGCGGAGGACATGGTAGGAATCGCGGGAGGAGAAGCGCGGCGGAAGGGTGGGTGGGCTCCAGACAGGTGGCCGTGGGCAGCGCGTACCCACTGTGGGCACGCGGAGCCCGGATGGCCTCCGGGACCGGAATCGTTTCCCCGAAAGTTGCATGGGAGCGGTGGCGGCTTTCATTTCGGCACCTAGGACGGGGACAGTCAGCTTTGGGCTTCCCATAGTGGGGAGGGCCATAATTAGGGGGCTTTCAGTACGGACTCGCACACCCTGGCTGAACCGTACCCCACTCGCAATGCTGCGCAAACTTCATCCAGTCCACAGGGCAGAGAGAATTCTGTGGGGGCACCCAAGGCGGCCTCTGATGGGTGAGGCGCCTTCGAAGTCAGTAATCCACTGAAAAATGCATGTGAATGTTATATTATCTTCTATAACTTAGTCGAATTTGAATATTAAAAAGTAATGCCTTACATTTATTACCATAGAATTAAGTTAGCTCTGGTAAGGTCCAGTGCCTGGCTCCCTGTACCCTACCTTCCTCCACCTCTCAGGACCACAGGGCAAGTGTGGGAGCCCTGGTCAGTCCGGGATGTCATTCATGGAGCTGGGGACCTTGTGAAAGTCGCTCGATAGAGCTCACAGACACCAACAAGCAGGAAAGGTGGACCCACTGAGGACGTGACCAGGCAGCTGAGCTACAGTCCACGGGTAGCCAGCCTTAGGGAAAGGGCTGCCCCTGTGGCTGGCTGCTGATTAGATTTGTTCCGGGCAGAAGCTACCTGCAGCCCCCACCCACCTGCTCCTGCAGTGCCCTGCCCTGCGGGGTGTCAGCCACGGGATGAGTTTGAGTTCTGAAAGAACCCACAGGGCTCTCCTGTTTGCTTCTGTGGCACATTCCCCAAAACTCACAGAGGGCCAAACGGAGCTCACCAGAGGTAGTTCTCAGGGGGTGCAGCGGTAGGCCTGGGGTTTGGAAGCGTTTAGAGATCCCCATAAGGTGGAGGGTCTCTGGGAGAACAGCCCGCTATGTGCAAGGGTGTGCTGGCAGTGTCCAGACCAGAGGCTGAGGGCTGGTCAACAGGACCTGGGGGCCCAGGGAAGGTACCTGTGAGGCTCTGTGTGTGCCATGTGCGCGCGTGCGTGTGTGTGTGTGTGTGTGTGTGTGTGTTTCACTTTCTCTTGCATACCACCCTCTCCCTAATCCCTGTAGGTTTTCTTCTCAAAGCTGCTAAAGAGAAAGAAATAATGGAATCTAAAGGTTGAAGAAGAGGTGTAATCAAAGATACAGGATGTGAAACTGGAAAGTGTAGAGATTTTTTACTACAAAATTCCCTGTTCAGGGGCGAGTGTGTTGCCGGAAGCGGGGGAGGCAAGGCCATCATCGGGGGACCATTCCTGGTGTGCGGGAGTCTCTCTGGCCCCCCGGGCGGGAGGTGGAGCACAGGGAGAGGAGAAGGCACTTGTCTTCTGTTCTGGCAGTCTCAGGGCACGTGGATGTGTTCGCTTTGCTGCCAGTGTGGGCTTCCTGTCCCCGTGAGCCAGCAGTCTCCTGGCTTCTCACCCTCCGTTCTGGAGACTTGAGTCAAGATTGCACTATGTCAGGGACCACTTGCCAGAGATAAGAGCCCAGTGAGTAACCTCGGGCAGCAGAATAGCCTTGGAGATCTCAAGTTTTCCTTTGCTTCTCCCTGTGAATAAAGGATCCTGTGATCCAGAGGCCTGCGGGCCCACGGGGCAACCTGGGCCTGGCTGGAACCAGCAAAGGAAGGAAAGGCAGGGGGCCAGGAATTCTTTGGGAGAACTTCAGTTTCCCCCTCTGTAAAACAAGAGATTGGACTAGAAACCCATCGAGGCTCCATTTAGCTCCAAAAATGGATGATGTGTGAATAGTTTTGAGGTTGGACTCCAACCCTGGTGTTGACCTCTTAGTACGGACAACTTAGAAGTGGTTCTCAGACCTGGCTCTGCCTGCTCCCCAGACCAAACCCAGGTGGGACCCAGACAAAGGGATTTTTTTTTTAAGGCTCCCTGGGTGATCCCAGCATGTAGTCAGGACTGAGAACAATGGGCTACACGGCCGAGGGAAGGTTGGGGCTCAAATCTATACTTCCCCAGGTATCCCTGCAGCTGCCACTCCTTGATCACGAGTCCTAAAGTAGGAGGTTTTGGTGAAATTCATCTGGGAAATGATACGTGTTGCATGCCCCTCTTGGGGAATCCTTCCATAGAGAAATCTCTCTTAACTCATTAAAACTGAGATGTGAATACAGGATACGGAAGCCTTTATCCAGTAATTCCTTAACACCATCATATACCGATCCAAGGTACATAAGATGGGCAAGACCCGGTTAGAAACATAAAGCTAAAAGTCTGGAGTCTTTAAATGTCAGTTTTTGAAAGAGTAAGCACTGAATCGCAAGACCTATGCAGGCATTTTCGATCATCCTGAAGGGGTGTGCGTCTCTGCCAGGGCTTGCTGTATATATTTCTAAAGCTAAGATTGAGACCCTTGCTACCTTTCCTTATAATAATGGGGGGAGACTTGATGTGTGCCAAAGACTCTGAACTCGGATGAAAAATACTGATAGAAGTTAAGACCATTACTGTCAAATTGTTTTAAAAAGTTTTATTCCTGATTCTTGGAGGGTAACTATGTATATGGCAGCCATCTGCCAACTCCCACAGGTATCCATGGTTATGGTTGTGATGTATTTCCTACTCTGTGAGTATTATTTTAAAGAGTTGAAATTATACTGAACATTCAGTTTTACAACCCGATTTGTTTTACTTCACTCTTTCTCAAAGCACATTTCTATGCCTGCATTTCTAAACAAATCTTCATAGCCATACTTTTAATGCTCAGTACCAAGATTTTGGTAATCATCTTCCTGCTTGTGGACTTTAGCTCATTTCCACTTTGGGACTGTTTTCAGTGGCATGTGGCCAGCTTCTGATTGCCCACGGAAATGGGGGCGCGAATGCTGGCTAAGTGGAAATCAGACAAGCCTGCGTGAACAAATTGCTTCAGCCTCTTCATCAGAGATTGTACTGCAGTCACCCTCGAGGGCCCAGAGTGTGGCTGTGGGAGGCGTTTCCTCTTGTCTGTCTTCACTCTGCGGTGTGGGCATGTCATTGGCCAGGCACGTGGGGGAAAGGGAGTCCCAGGAGAGCCACGAAGGGGTCAGTTCGCCTCCGAAGAACCAAGAGCTAAAATCCCCGGAGGTGAAGCTCAGAGGAGAGTCTCCAGAGAAGGAATGTGACCTCAGAGTCACTCAGAGCTGGCCTCGAGCCTAGGTCTCCTAGTTCTGATCCCCTCCCTGCCAGCATGCAGGTCCCATCACAGACACAGTGGCCTTTTGATATACTTGAGGCGTTCGGTGCGGCTTGGAGTGGTGGACAAAAGGCACAGGGTTTGATCCGGCTCCTCATCTGCAAAATGGAGCATTAATAACGGTTGTAAGAGGAGCAAATGGAATCACGGAGGCGAACACACTTGGTGTCTCAGAATGGAGGTTTTACAGAGGACCCACAAAAATGAGGTGTTTTTTGTGTGTGTGTCAAGACGTCAAGCAAACAGTAAGGGAGTCACCGATGCATCTCGTTCACTATCGGTCCGGTGGGTGCTTTGGGACCCTTTTCTAAGTGTGGATCCGGTGTAGATAGATTCTCTTCTAAAATAGTTTTCTCGCTCCTTTAAACCTCTCGCCTCACCAGGCAGGAATTACTCAGTCTGCGGGAGATTTTGGCCCAGTCTTTGTTCCCCAGACCTTCTTGCTGGATCAGAAGGCGGGCCCCACTCAGCCTCAGGCCCTGAGGTCTAACGCTGGGGTGCCCCAGCATGTCACCCTGCCAAGTCCCTTGGGAAGTGAAACTGGTTTTGGATTCAGACCTGGGAAGCTAAGCATCCAGCCCCTGGAGCCCGTGGGGAATTTGATACCTTCCCTCTGTGGTCACGGCCCCCACCTGCAGCTCCTGCTGCGTGCATGAGCCAGGCTGTGCACCTAGCCGGCTGGGAGCAGAGGGTTTTAAACAATCCACCGGCCCCAACCAGACCAAGCGGGAGTCAGTCCAGAAACTGGATTGGAAGTGTGTGTGGGGCGGGGAGGTAGGGGGATCGGCCTCACAAAGAAATGAGTTTCTTAGCTGTTTCAGGGGCCAGTGAGAGACAGTGCTTCAGATGGGCCTCAGAGATGCTGGCACCCCCTCGGAAGAGGGCTGAGAGGCCCACCCCCGTCTCCTCCCAAAGCACCCACTTAGAAACAGAATGCATCAGGTTTCCTTGAGGCTCTCGGGTACCATGAGCCACCTGGGCCATCTTTGCTTGGTCGGCTTTTTAATGTGGCTGCTACAGTGTTTCCATCTGGAGCGTCTGGGGTATAATCCTTGTGTTGTCTGGGTGTGTCTACATGGGCCTGCGACTCAAGGGCCACCTGGCCTGACAGTGGGGATGGAGCAGTGGTTTGTGGATGACCCCTAGGCCTCCCTTCTCTATGTGGACAGCCTGTCCCCTCCACAAACACAGACACATATTTTTGGAAGTGGCTCGGAGCCTGGCCATATTCCCGAGGGTCTGACCTGGTGGCTCCAGAACTGCTCGCTGAGAGTGAGCTGGAAGGTGCTTTAAGGTAGTGGCTGGTGAATTCAAGGTAAAAGGTGTGAGAGTCAAAGGGAGGGAGAGGTGGATGTGGAGGACGAGGAAGCAGCGGGGACCTCATGCCCGGCTCCAGGCTGCGACTGGTTCTGGATGAACACGTGACTTCTTTGGGCAGAGCCTGAGTCTTATTCCCAGTGGCTTTGGAATTCTTGAGTGGCACCTCCAGAAGGCCACATGAGGGGAATTCACAATCTATGTAAAACAATGTATTAGTGCTCCCTCTCTCTCCCTGCTGCCTTGACATCCATCCATCCATCCATCCATCCATCCATCCATCCATTTGTTCATGCATCCACCCATTCATCCATTCATTCATAATTTACCTGCTTTAAGCTAGACATTGTTCCAGGGCAGAAGATACCACAGT